TATAAATAAAAAATGCCACTGCTCAGCTTCAGATATTTTAACCCCATTCTGTTTTTGTGCTCATTCTATTCTTTGCATGCTTTTGATTTTGTTCCTGCCATTCTAGCTTCCTAGAATACCTTTGTATGATCTTTTTAAGGATTGAAAAGAGTTTGTTTTATAAAACTCGCACCTGAACCTCTTCCCCATTCCCCCGTCCTTTCTGTGTTCTGGAATATCAAAACGTTCCTGTGGATCTGTGAACATCAGTGGCCGTGGATCTCCACTGAGAAGTTATCTTACTTGTAGGCCCACAGCATGTGTGTTTTATTGCCAGGTTTCAGGAGGTCAATGAGATGGAGATGTTTCCACTTCCGACCTTGTGGGATTTCACGCTCACCTTACTGATTGAACAACACAGAGTTAGGCGCCGGGCTTTAGCTAGCTGCAGGATGAAAGACCATCACAGACAGGACCGGGTCCCTTGTTATTAATTAGGTGTCAGAAGTGGCCATCAAAGGAGAAGCTGTTGGACTGATTTGGGAATTTTCGCCATGTGTTTTAAACTGATTTATTTACTGTATTTGTTTTCCCAGAGTCACATCTAACCTCATGCTATCCTAAGCTGAGCAAACTAATGATGGAGAGGCAGCGCTTGCTTTATTTTTTTGCGATTACGCACACTCACACACACAAGGATAAAGGTGTGTGGGTGGTGGAGCATGGCTGAATTATCAAGGCTTATTCCAGACGTCTCCAAATATTCAGTGGGATGGAATTGATTCAAGGACTCTTCAATTATAAAACAGAGATGAATCTCAACAGAACAAAAGAGAATAAGGATTTAATACGCCTCCTCTCTCATTCTTCATACCGTCATTGTGTGTCCGGTCTACAATGTTTACTGCTTTTCTTCCTATTCATCTCACTTTCTTTCTACCCTGCCACTCCATTTCTGATACTTTAAATTACTTACTATTAGTACTAGTTCACAGTAACACAGTGGCCCTCAGAGATCCTGCTTTAGAAGTCGGTTTTCAAATTTTGACTGGAGATCAAGGCTAGCCACTTGTGATCTGGTCCGTTGGGAGAGATCTTAATTCCAAGTGTAAACAGCCTTATTATGTTTTGTTTACCCTTTTCTTTAACTGTTTGTTTTTCTTTCTTTTTTTTCCCTCTCACAGTGTGCAGAGTATAAGGAGATGGCCTCAGTACTGGAAAATAAGCCAGCAGGAACATTTGTGCTGCAGGTCCATGCAGATGATGCTGATGAAGGAGCCAATGGAAAAGTCACGTATGGTTTCATGCATAAAGACAGCACTGTTCCTGCCTTCAGCATTGAACCAGAAACAGGTAACGATTCAAGCACACTTATTCAATAAGCTCATTCATGGTTTAGTGAATAGCCAATTACTGTACTAAGAGCATGAAAGTAGATGACTACATTGTCATTCTTTTCAAAATCACCGGATGTCATTTGAGATAAGTCACTGGATTTGAAATGGAATTTTTTTTTTGATGGGGTAACTAGTTAACACAACCTTTTTTAAATATGTCTCATTAAGCACTCTCTTATAATATCATCATCATCATCATCTCTCTCTCTCTCTCTCTCTCTCTCTCTCTCTCTCTCTCTCTCTCTCTCTCTCTCTCTCTCTCTCTCTCTCTCTCTCTCTCTCTCCCTCCCTCCCTCCCTCTGTCTACCTTGAAGTATTTTCATGAATTCTAACTTGAGTTTAATTCCCTTAAATCATAGCCTTTCAAAACATGCCTACTCTCAAAGAGAGAGAAAAGACAGTATTTAAATGTGTTGTGTCAAGCCCCCTTCTTAAAGAAATGGAATGCTTTATGAAATAGAACTGTTCGTTGGACATCAATCATTGTGTCTTTTATGGAGGAGAATAAAGAGAGAAAATAGGAATGGATTGCAGTGGGAGAAACTTGAGGCACGTTTGCAATGACTCAAATGCAAATTGGGAATTGTTGAGAGATTTGACACTCTGAACTCAAAGCACAAAAAGGAAAGAACATTTCCCACAATACTGCTGTGTGTCTAAGTAGTGTTATTTGCTTGATTTCAAAAGATCATTTTGTTCTTTATTATATAAGATTAAATGGAGATGTAGCATTACTGTGACACATAATATAGGCAACTATATTGAATTATCTGTAGGACTGGAAAAATAGTCTATTGGTGAACAGAATCTCCATGGTAACAGAGGTACTATTTCAGGTGTTATCGTAACTGCTATGAAGTTTGATCGGGAGAGGCAGAGGGAGTATGCAGTAACGGTGACGGCCACGGACCAAGCGGCGGACCCCCTCATAGGCATTTGCCAACTCAACATTCTGATCCTTGACGAAAATGACAACAACCCCAAATTTGAGAACTTACGCTACGAATGTGAGTAATAAGCAACTTCTTTTCAGCATCTTTGTACAGGGCTAATAAGTATAGGCACTAAGTATAGTTACATATCCATGTTGTTCCAAGCTTCCGTTTCCTAGCCAGGTGCTTTGTGGAAAGATTCCAGCAAAAAAAAAAAAAAAAAAATTGTCTGTTCACATCAAATACGAAAATAAGAAGTGACAGTCATTCATAAAACACAAACACTAAAAAAGTTATCTCTGTTCAGAACAGTTCAGATCACATTTCTTTCAACGCATTGTAGCTGAAGAGTATAAAACTAAAACACATGCCTTCCATTTTCATGAAATTCAGAATTCTTATGCACAACTCATGATTTTCCCTATGGTACTTGAGGGGTTTATTATATAGTATCTGGACACAGTTGCATAAACAAGGTCACTATGTTAAAGAATAGGTCACCAAAAAATGTAAATTCTGTCAACATTTACTCAACCTCATTTCCTTCCAGACTCAAAAGGCTTTATTTAATCTTCAAAACACAAATTAAGATATTTTAAATTAAACTTAGTATCTGTTCCTCTCTTGAAAGTCCAGGTAACCAAAACTTACAAAAGATACAAAAAGTTTGTAATGGTGTTGCAAACTAGCTCTATGAAATATTAATAATCAATCATAACTTGTTATAATTGATTTTGAATATTTGGATCAGTTAATCGGGTTAACTTTATGTAGCTACATTAACATTACAACCAATTACTCGGTGCATCCCATGAACACTCAATATTGGTTATTAATTAATTAATAGAAATGTACATTTCCGGGGCATGGGAAATGTCTTTTTTTTTACTAAGTACTACTAAGAGCAAGTAGTCAAGATCTATGATTAGTGACTCCAGATATGAGCTTGAGACACAGACAACTTTACGTGTGATATGAAAAAGACTTTATTAACTAGACTAAAACATTTTAACTACTCTAACATACACATACATACATGCATGCAGTTTACCAAGGGAAAGAGAGCTGAAGCAGAATACAGGAAAGCAAGAAGTTATAGCATTGTTTGATGTTCAGCAGATCAACAGCCTGAGCAAACCATCAGTTTAGTTCTAACACACCCTTCTTGAAAGGGGTAAGGATATCTAATGTATCAAATGATGAGCTTAAGTTTGATACTTGCATGTCTCGTCCATTTGCATTAAACTGTCCTGATGCAATTTGTTGAGGCTCCAGTTGATCTTTGCTGATGTGGTCTTGATTAGAGAGAACCAGTGGGGGTCAGAGGGTCTTTGATGAATGGAAAGACAAGGCCGGAGCCTGGCGCAAGCTTGGGTTCCTTGGGGGACTTCTAGTTCAGCCTCATCTTCACGTTAGGACTTCTCAAGAAGGACCAAGAGAGTCAGAGAGCAAGAGGCCAAGAGCGTAAGCGGCCCAGAGCAAGAGCAAGAGGACAAGAGAGGAGCTAAGAGAGTTTTTAATGTGTGAAGATGTCACACCCTCTGGAGGTGTGTGAGCCAATCAAAAGCCATCCCTTTGGAGGGAATTTCTAAGACCCATTGTCTTCTAGCAGGGCATTTGAATGTTTCATTTCATTGGGTGTTTATGAAAAGAATCTACAAAATTCTTATAATACTAATGCGTCATAAAGTTAGAAAAATGAAATGTAAATTAACAAATGGGGGACAAAGATTGGAGTTTATAGAGACATGCTACACATATGATTTTGGTTTACCATAGTATGCAAGTCATGTCTCAGACCAACATAGTTTAGAAGAGAGAATGAATACATAGGCCAAACCACATAAAAGGAAAATTATGAGATGGAAAATTAGATGCATGTTAATACATTTATCACATGGTTATATATATAGAATATATAGGATTCAAATGGTTCATTTCTTCTTCTCAGCAAAAATTAAGAGAGTGTCACAACTCTCTGGAAATTCCGTTGGGTCGTAAAGCTTGTTATCAGTCTTAATGTGTCCTGTAATAGGACACCAGGTTCTGCCAGTGGGTAGGCTTCATTTGTGGGGGAAGTCTCATAGAACTTTGTTGGAAGAGTGAGTTTGTTGGATTCTTCATTAAATATAGGCCTAATGATTAATTTGTGTGTGTGTGATTGGTCCAGACGCTACAAAGGCATTGTAAAAATTAATCCATATTAATCGAGTGCTTTAATCCAAGTCTTGAAAAGATAGGATTGCTTTATGTTTCAATTCATACAAACACATATGGTAAACACGAAAGTGATGCATGAAAAACCAATGAGGTTTGCATGCATGAGCTTTCGTGTTTACCATATGTGATACTCTCTGTGTACGTGTATTTATATGTAAATAAAAGCCTAAATTAAATCTCTTCGTCATATAAAGGGATTGCATCTCTTCATAAGACTTTGATTAAAGCGTTAAAGTCATATGGATTTGTTTTACGACACCTTTATTACTTTAAGTTTTATTTTCAATGAAGGGATAGAAACAACTCAGGTTTCAATTAAAGGTGCTATATGTATTTTTTAGCGGCCTCTATCGGTGATGTTTCAGATTGCAACCAATTTTTACAAGAGCGCTCGTTCTTTTACTGTATGTGGCTCTTGCACGTGCTCGAACACAAGAGCGAGCAGCCGAGCACTCATGGTACATGGCCACACTGAGACTTTCAACACACCGGAGAAAGCATCACACAACATGCTGGAAACTAATGTAAACTCCCACTGCAACGTTACAATAATAGGCTACTTTTATCAGCTTGACGTTGAACTAATGCTCCATGCTCGTACCATGATAACGTTACATTGACTGCATTTAGCTGACATGTGGTGTTAGCATAAGGCATTTCACTAACTATTCGTGTATCTTTCACAATCAGCAATGTCAACATAGGTGAATGTATAATATGATAACGAAAACGGTTAGTGAACTAGACTGAACAATTTCAGTGTAACAGTAAGATCGTAGGAAGTAACATTACTGTACTGAACGTGTCTGGAAATGTGTATTATAAACAATATGATAGTAGTGGGATGATTGACGTTAGACAGTAGATCTAGTAACGTTACATAAAATAAAAGTGACATCCTAAAGCACCTACTTTTTGTTTTCCTGGAACAGTCTTTTGTATTCATTTTAGTCTCATATATGTTGTAGTTTACCTTGCTATTTCATTACAGTTTACCATTATTTCAGCATATCTGAAAACTTGTAATTTATCACAATAAAAATAGCGGAGGTCTCTCCATAATTCAAACGCTCTGCCGATGTTGATCCGTGTTTTCGTCCTAAGTCGATCCGATTGACGTTTGGCCTGACGAGCTTCAGCAGATACATTTTTGTTTTGTTTTTTTATATTTATATGGAGTTTGTGTTGAGTCTGTGTTGTGCTGGAGGCAGGTCGTTTTTTGGTGTTATCAGACTCCATGTCGTCAGCTGCAGTGCCGTCGCATAGACTGTATATAAAAAGGAGAGAGGCTCGGGAGCCCGCATGCACGTCACATCCGATGGATTTCGCAGAAAATCCGACCTGGAGACTTCACATAGAAATAGGAATACTGGCCTTCAGAGGTAATAGCAAAACCCGTCAAGTGGATCATTGTAATGTGTGATTACAACCCCTTCACACACAGGCAATAAAAAAAGGATTCATTTTAGAAGAAAAGTTACATATAGCACCTTTAATATATAACTTCATTTGTGTTTCAAATATTTATCGAAGTCTTATGAGTTTGGAATGACATGAGGGTGAGTAAATGATGAAAGTTTTCAGTTGTGGGTGAACTTTTTGTAGTTCTTAAGTGTCTTAAGATTAAGAACTAGTTTGACCAACTAGAAATTAGCCAAATGGTAATCCGTTTTTTTTTTTTTTCAGATTCAAAATAGTTTTTTTCTTAATGTCAGACCCATCTTAAAGAAATAAAAAAAAATAGATGACTAACTTGTAAGACATTAATTCTAAACTTTCACAAGAAGTTTGTCTTTGTCCATTGATGTTTTATATGCATGAGCAGTACTAGCTCAGTCCAATGAGATTTCAGTGTGGGCGGGACTATGTGGTGGGACATCACAGAAATTAAAACCAACCAATCTTCAAAAGTTTCTTGTTGCTGTCCCAGCTTCTTAGAAAAAGAAAAAAAACTAACTAACATGAAGGAGATTGTCTTTATGCTGGTTTGTATTGGTTTAGCCAAATTTTAGCTGGTGGACTAACTTCTGTTGTTGGTTGACCAGCATGATCTTTCTGAGAAAGTCATTTTCCTTACATATTCGTAACACTACATCACAGAACTATATATGAAACGGATTGATTAATTTATGATTTTTTGGTTCGTATTGATCAAAGTGTCTTTCATATGCAATTTCAAAGATAGGATCGGTGGATATGACAGTTATCAAAGCTTTTTAGCAGTTTCCAGTGCATGTTAAATAATTGCTGTCTTCCCTCTAACAGACTTCTTGCGCGAGGACACCATGATTGGTACCAGTTTTCTGCGAGTGGCTGCACACGATGATGATTACAGCACTAATGCGGTCATCACTTACTCCATGTCTGAGGAGCAGCCGGAGTATCTGCGAGTCAATCCACTCACTGGCTGGATCTATGTAAACCAGCCTATCTCTCAGGTCAGTCCTGCTCCAAACAGCCAGCTTGGGCTCAGATTGAACCGAGTGAAGTCCTGATGGTTCAAATGTAAAGTGATTTTGAGTTTACCTGTGTGAATGTGTGTGGGTGCTCCACACAGTCGAAGAGTTTTAAAAAGCAAGTTTCAGACTTGAGCTTTCTCAGGAATACTTTCAAGCAGAATGATTTATCATTAAAACCTCATAGAGGGCAGGAGTTTGAGGTGTGTGGAAAGAAATCCAAAATTGCACTTGCAACATGAATTTTATATAGTTCCTGTGTGAAGTTTTAAGATGCCGCATTGTGAATGATTTAGCAGGTCCACAAGAGTTTCTCACAGCACTCTGCTCAGATGATTGATTGGGTGGTTACAAGGTCTTTTACGGATTCTGCTTGTTTCTGTAAAGCTTATATCTGAAATAACTTGACTTGTTTAAGCATTAATTGTGGTTATTGATGGGGTGTTTGTGTGTGTGTGAGAGTAGGTGTTTCGGTTTGAATGCCACTGATATCGGACCACCTTTGACAAGAGACCTTTGTAACTGTTTCTATGACTACCAAGATCAGCTGGTGTATATGGTGACTTTTTGTTTCTCTGCGTTTGAACGTTTGTATACATTCTTTGTGCGATTACAGAGAGTGGGCGAAAATTGTTTAGCTGTCATTTCACATCATTCTGCATGCAGACGGTCTGCTGTTTCGAAGCGGATGTATGCATCTGCAGTGAGATGACAACAAATACAATGATGTATCTATCTGTTGTGTTGACACACTTGACACAGTTCCATTTAAAGTAGTACTGGGATTGTTTAAATTTTTGGATGCCAAGGATATTCCGATTTTCTTTCCGGAGGACCCACTTCTTAAAAAAATAAATGTGAAAAAAAGTGTGATATTATAAAGAGAAATATACTTATATTAAAAAATATAAATAGTATCTACTATTATTTACTATATTGTGTGTGAATTTTATATGCAGATTTATGTATTTTAGTTAAAATCTAGTGACTGTCAATAGAAAAAAAAAAACTACTGTTAATCTCATGATTTCTGTTTTTATACACTTTGAAACAGCATTTCTGTCAGGGCCACTATCGTCAAATATGATTGACAGTTAGCATACAGTTCGGATTGGAGGTATGGTTCTGTTCTGGGCAAGAACTCCCTGCGCGTCCATGCAGCCTAGCATGGATAAGAGCAGGGAGAGCAGCAATAACCCCCTTAGGGTAAACTGAACAGAACCAACATGAATGTATGCCGATATCATTCATTAATTTTAATATACAACATAATTAGAGAATTTTAGTCTGATTCAGGGGAATCAGAATGCCAAATCCTGACTAATGAAAGGAGTAGCTGGGGATGGAGGAGGGTAATTAGCTCCTGAAAAACGTGATAGCTGTTGATAATGCTGAAGGAGTATGAATATGAATACAGTGATAGGCGTCGTATCCCTACAGGTAGACGTGGATCAGCTGATGCGAGCTTGACTAACGTGACCTGCCAGAACTGACGCTACGTTTGATTATTATCAAATTCTTTAAATGAGTTAATTTTGTTAAAAGTATTTAATAACTTAAGCTAACATGCCAAATTTGAGATCCCCTAAAATAATTTGTAAAAGCTTTTTTCTGTTTTCTTTTTTTTAATTCAAATATTTCACCCTGGGCTCCAGTTTGAAAACCCTTGTCTTAGTTCATTTTAAATTTTCCAATTTTACATTGTATTTGACATTATCATCAATAAATGTGTTTGATTGTTTCCAGAGGACCTACATCAGCAGGCAGATCATCGCTACAGATGGAGGGAATCGGAGCAGTTCAGTCGAGCTGGCAGTCACAATCACTAATGTGAAGAATCAGCCTCCACAGTGGGAGAAAGACAAATACGAGGTCGTCATACCTGAAAACACTGTCAGAGACACTCCAGTTGTGGTATGTACTTAACATAACGCTGAACACTTATAATCTACTAGAGCTCTACAGATATGTCAGTTATGCAGATTTATGGCTGCTTTTTACTTCAATTAATAACAGGATCAACGCCGTACAGGGTAAAAAGCTATGAATTTCAGTGATTCCAAAGATATTTATTACATAAGATGTCGATTTTACCAAAGCTAAATATACTATAATTGCAGGAACAAAGGCAAGAGGCAAAACAAACATATAGCTTCTACTAAGTGATTTATTACTTTGGCCTTTGAGGCACACCTGTGAGGCACTCCATTAATTACTATGTCTTTTATGTGTGCATTGAAGGAATGCTATGATGGATGTGAATAAGTTTTAATCCCACAATAAGGTTGTGGGTATTCCTTGAGGGACTTGAGTTCCCAGACACTGTCGACTTTACTGTCATGTACTGGCGGTTACAACTGACAGTCTGTGCTTTCTGCTCGACCACACAGAGTCTTCACACAGGCTGTCACAAAACACATCCACAAGTACACACAGTCACACACATACACACACTCACATAGTCCATTTAAAACTAATGGTAAAATGCTGTAGGATTTTTTAAGCTCCAGTCCCCAGGTCAGCCAGAGCTTCTGTATCCCTACCATTAATCATCTGATTCTCTCCTTCAATTTTTAAGGATGCTGCTTCATTACATGCACTATTTAGGAAGTCAGCCAATCACTGAGTCATTGGATAATTTATGGACATTTCCTTTTTTTTCCCCCATTTTCATTTGGTTACAAATGCACTGAAAGTATTAATTTGCTGAATTTCCTGGAATACATTTATTGTCATTAAATCCATTATTAAGGCAGATGCGCATTTTATGAAGAGAAGCATAATCAAACAAAGGACGAAAAAAAGAAAAGAAATAAGACAAACATAGAAAACTGTCCTGAGATAAAGCTTGCTGTTCTCCTAATTGATCTTGTATTTAAATGTTATTTGTGTTCTTGTTGGTATAGGAAGTATTTAATTGATCTGGTGATTTCTTTACAGTTGCCCTATTAACAGAGTTTCACAATTGTTATATTTAAAGACAGCGACTAAATTCTCTTAGGACAGAAAAAGAAGCCTTTGATGTTTAAGATGCAGATCAACCTGCTTTGTTCAGCTGAAATATGTTTTTTTTATAACATTGCTTTGTATTATTATTTTTAAATAGACTCTAGTATAGTTATGTGAATATATGAAATATTATGAAATATATGAATATTATATTTGAAAGTGGCTACGGTTCAAAAGTTTGCGGTCGAAAATGCTCTTATGCTCAACAAGTCTGAATTTATTTGATCAAAAATACTGCAAAACAATAATATTGTGAAATATTAAAATTTGTAATAACTATGACTACTAAAATAACTCTGGATTATTTGATGAATAGAACGTTCAAAAAAACAGAACTGATTTCAAATATGACTTT